CAGCAACAATATTATTTCAGTTTGTTCAGAAAGAACTGATTTAAAGTGGAACAACTACAGAAAAAGGCTAACAGGACAGCTAGAATCTGGTATGTACACAAGAATGCATGTATCAAAAGCCTACTTTAAAACCAAAGATTAGAGAATGCTGGATTTTCTAGTTTAGCTAAATGAAGGCTGTCAATAAGATTGCCGTCTCTTTATACACTAGAAAAATAAATGGGATGGAACAAGAACTGATGATCAATACTGGCACAAACTGGCACAAGGACAAATGCATGTAAGCTTGTGGTGAATACACAGATTATTAGAAATTAGAAATTTTATAACCATTACAGAAACTAGGCACCAGGGCAGCTTTCTAACTGGAAAAGCAAAGTCAAAAAAGTTAACTTTTTAAGCTGGAGTTTGACAAGTTTCTGAAGAGGATTATATATTTTTCCTACGAGAAAATGGCACTAAAGCTGACATTTGAAGAGGTCCCTTCCAGTCCTATGTTCTTATTTCCTTCAAAGTAGTCTTTGCCATGGTGATACTTACAAAACAAAGCTAGAGAAAATCGACTCAGTGGTTTTTAAGCATTACAAATATCTGAAACCTCCAAGCTCTGAAAAGCATGCACTCCATTAGCTGGGGAATGAGTCTCTCTAGTGTGAACTGATATGCTTATGAAAATGTTTGGGTTTCACACATCTTTAAAATGCAGTTCTCAAGAAACCATTAAGCAAATTTGTTCAAACAATGATTGATTAACAATCTAAATATGCAACACCTAATGAGGATTACATATCAAAGTCAAGTCCCAGACTTCAGGTCTTTTGCCATCAGAAAAAAAGCTTTACTAGCTTTCAAATTGTATATTCTTCCTACCCACCCCCTTAAATTCAAACACAGAAGGAATTCTGTTCAACCTTTCAAAGAAAAAAAAAACCCAACCCACAATTGGATAAAACCAGACATAGTCCGAAAGCTTAATGTTTCAGAAAGTAAGGAGTACATGGAAAGAAGGCATTAATGGAAACTGTTTTGGAACTCTAAGTACAGAGGATGATATCTAGTGACTGCCGTAATACTGAATCTGCACTGCCATTAAACTTAATCTTCGATATTTTTATTGCAACCTGACCCGCTATGACATCTCTAAAGAAAATTACATTGTACACTACTATTTCAAGAAGTCAAACTTAGCTAGTCATCTGGGCCATAAAATAGCAGATTACTCCATCAGACTGGCTAAAGCAACTAGAAATAAAACTAGATTTACCAACCACATTATTTTTATTAGGAAATGTTTCAAAGCAGACATAATCCCAAAAGACTTTAGCCTCATTCTATCCAAAAATACACAGCAGAAAGCAGCAAAAACATGAAGTGCAGTATAAGGTACAATTTGTAAATGTGAGGAAAAAAAATACAAGATGTGCTGTAATATATCATCCTATCAAAGTAAAATAAATTAACTGAACATAGAAATAGAAAAGAATAAAAACTTCTACACAGTTTATGTATTAACAATTTAAACCTTCGTTATAAGATCTGACATGTGTTAATAGGAATTGCTCCATTGACTCCCTGCACATGAAGATTTAGCCTATACTTCTTTTGCTTTCTTTGAAATTGCAAGCTAATATAGGTGTACTAAATCACAGCTAGAGAGTAAAGCCTCCAGATTGGGCAAAAGGAAAAAACAGTATCTTCAACAACAATATTCCTGAAGAACTCTGGTATGTTAGCACTACATGCATTTTATTTTGGATCATAGCTGCAGAACAGCTAAAGCACTGCTTCTTCTGTAATCGTTCTAAATGTGAGGAACTGCTCATAATAGTAACAGAAAAAAAGCAATGAATTTACTTGGCAATCTTAACACTTCTCAGAAATTCCTTGTACTGTCATGTTTTCTAACAGGTATTCATGCATACATAATATATAGGTCTTTGTAGATCTGGAATGAAGGAGAAGTAAGGGATTTGATAGCTGGAAAGGCAAGTTTTAAATTTTAAATACCGCCAAAGTAGGTTAGATGTATGATGTGTGTTTTATCATCTAACCAAGCATTCATGTCTTTCAGTTGTAACCTTTTTTTTTTTTTTCCTAGTCAATATGATCACCTCAGGCAGTTTGGTTTAAAGGCTGTAGCCAATGTAAATATATATTTAAATTAGCCAGGCATTTGTTACTTTTTTTTTTAAGACTTAAATACTGTCTATATTTTACAAAGGTGGTTCTATTATGCTAGCTGCATCAAATGCAGAATATTAATCTGGGAAGCTCTACTAATTATGTGCCACATTTAAGTAACTTAAATTTTGTTAAATGGCATGGCCACAGATATTGTATGCATAATCTAACTGAGTTTTGAGTCATTTCCCTTCTCTTGTCTGATTTTATTCCGCACAGGAAATGAGAGGGTCATTTGGAAGTAACTGCAGTGAAAGATCAAAAAGGAAACCTGATTGAGAACACTGTATAATTGCCTGTGCTAGAGAAAAAAATAAAATGCAATGAGTTTACAATCCATTGCTATAAGAGTTCTCTGGAAAACACATACTGCGGTTTCTCTAAAAGGATATCCATTACAACACTAAGTACTGCTTTTATTTTTCATATCTGCATCTCTTTTAAAGAAGCAGGTCTTCTCATTAGGCTATTGGACTTCTATTCAGTAGGTAATACTTTTCGCACATGTGGAGCACAAATTTACTCACTGAGCTAAAGTAAGCCGTTCCAGTCAAAGCAAGTAATTTCACTGACTTGTCTCAAACTCTTCATTTGCAAAAGGAGATAATACTGTAATTAAGTTCTTGGAACACTTAGCTCTCGTTATTTCAGCAAATTTGGCCATTACAATTTAGAGTCCCCCATTACAAAAGAACAGACTTTTATTGCTGGAGCTAAAAGTAAACTTTGTAGACATTAGCAGCACTTACCTTAGAGTAAGGATCACATGAGCTGTGGGCTGTGGTATGTCCACATGGGCTTTTTTTTTCCTTTGGGTAAGACATTGGTCTACACAGCAGGACAGCAGCCAGCCTTTCAGCACAGATTTATCATCTACTTTCAGCGTGCAGATTTCCCACTTGATCTCCTGCCCCCTTCTGTTCCCTGAGCAGATGCAGTGCAGAGCACATAACTCCAAGGGTGCTCCTGCCATAGCCATCCACACCAAACCACACCAGCCCCACCAGGTCGTCAGGATCTGAGCTGTTCATCTAAGGGACTGTAAACGTAGAAGGTAACGCTCTCCTTTATGGATAAGCATTTCTAAATGTAACAAAGTTGTAGCAAAAGAACTTCAAGTCTATGCTGGGTTCACTTCTCATCACATTTTAACATATTAAGCAAGTGCAAATAATGCTATAAATTTGTATAAGTAGCTTCAGTGCCTTAAAATGTTACTTATTGAAGAACCATATATCACCCTATCAAAATAAACTCTACAGGAATATAAGTATTGATTTCCTTGGGCGTTGCAGTGTGGTTGCACAAATTAAAGACTCTCTGCCATGGAAGTCGGAATACAAAACAGATGGATTAAAGTGAAATGGCGCATAGGCAACAAATAACTGTGAAAGAGTTACGGCTAAAAATTGTCACAAAGATTTTTGTGACAGTTATAATTCTAGATCTCACTTGTTCCTTTGATGGTTCATCACCGAAGTAATTCACAGACACACATTCTGCCATTCCCCAGTGGAGCTGGTACCTTCAGCAGAGGTGGTGCTCACTCCCCAGCAGACAGACTCTGCAGAGCAGCCACTCTTCCATGGCTGAGGCAGTGTACACTGATCTCAGCCACCCAGAAACATGTTTTAAGAAAACACAAAGATACTTCTTTTAAGGTGGTCTAGAACTGATAAATTACCCAAATTTACACAAAAAATTACTTAATCAAAGCCTCATTAAAAATAATTTTACCAATTAGAAAGTGCTAACCAGCCATTGTTCTGATTAGCTAACATAAAAACCCAACCCTAACACAGTAACACTGAAGTCCTGCTCTACTTACGTAATGGCAGTTTTGTCACTGATTACATCATAGTTGGAATTTTAACCCACCTTACAAATGATGAGAATAATTTCCAAATATTTGCATCCATGTCACGAAAAGTCCTTCTTTAATATGGCTATTCAAAAGGAACATGGAAAGAAATTATCCCACATAATTTACAGAGCCAAATCACCAGCTTAAATTGTAAATAAAATTTGCCAGTGCATTAATTTTAACTTTGCTGTGTACTGATAAGCTAAAATATAAGTGCCCTCAAAAAAATTCCACTACTGTGCCTCTCTGAGCAACCAGTATATAAATTATAAACGTAAATCCTTTTCAATGTATTGTAACATATATCCTCAAAACTCACAGTCAGGCCAAAGGAAGGTTTATTTGATGGATTGAATCTATCCATTTTATTAAAGGCCACATCCTGCATCAACGTATTTTCCTATGTATTTTTTCACATATAAGTTAGCATATATGACAAAGTTTACAGTCAAGCCAATTCACTATTATTAACTGAACGCTTTCAAAATGCTGGATTTCAAGCTAGCTTGTTTCTTTACCATCAGTACAGTTAACTGTTGGTGGCTACAGTAGAAGCAAAACTCTGTACATACACATGCATACATAAATATTAGGACTGTGGTCAGACTAGCTACACAACATTTTCTGATGTTGATTGCTGATTTTAAAACACAGTCAGACTCATGCATTGCTAATTCAAATTACATGCATCAACTTATAACTACACACACAAAGGTATTCCTGATTTAACACAACTAACATCTTAACCAAGTAATGCATTTACACTTTTTTGAAATCCAAAATTAATTTTGAATATGAGGATCAAAACATCTAACTTGTATTCTTTAATCAGCCATTTTACATTAGTAATGCAGTAATGTTGACATGAAGCTGCTTTGAGCAATATAAAACATATGCCACAGTGCATTCATTAAATAACTCTGCATAATGAGTTCCATCTATATAAATGACTTACCTCATTACTTATCACAAGTTCTTCTCTAGGGCTCTGGAAGAGGTATTCATATAGTTTATAGTGTTTAAATAAGCTGGAAAACAAGAGAATATTGTACTATTATAGCAGTAAGTCTTTGGAAAGGTAAAAATAATAACAATTCTGTTAAACTAAGAGTTACTCTCCAGCATGGTAATACTCCAACAAATTTTAAAAAGGAAGCGTTTGTTTAACTTTATGTACAATATGCAGAATATTTAATTTACAGGATTTACTACCAGATGGCTGTAGAAAATATGGTATGATACTTAAAAATACATCCATGTTGTCCTTATGAAATTGAGCTCTGAAAAGACAAAGTTCTACTCTGAAAACAGTAGTTCCTGAAACACATCACCAGGACACTTATGCCTTTAATATCAGCAATACTGGACAAAGCCAAATCAGCTTTCAGATTCTGGGATGGGCTGCCAGTCCAGGGAGCAAGTTTGATCTTGGAACACCAAAATGATAAAGAATGGAAGCATTTATTTTCTCAAGCTCATGTTTCAAAATAAGTGTAGTATTTCCTCAAAGAAAAACTAAAAAACTAGATTGAGACTAGAGTTTTGTGTATTACAACAAAAGTAACTTTAAGTAGACTTTCTCAATGGCCTAAAATATTTATCTTCCTTAAAATGTACATGGCTTTCCTTTTCACATGTTTTAAATAATTTTCCTTCTTCCCTTTCCTAATGATCAATGATATAACATTTGTTTAATCAAAGGTTTGGTTTGTCACAGTCCATCTGTTACAATTACTTGTTCTCTTAAAATCATCATACAGAACTTCTGGCTTCAGTCATATCATTTTGACATATGATTTAAAACACAGCTCTGTGATTTCATAGCAAGTCCAGGTTGAAGAATGATTCCAAGAGTTTATTGCACTCCTGCCTGATGTATCCATGAAAGATACAGAGTATTTGCAGGGAACATCTGTAACCAGTTCCTATGCTTTCTGGTTAAGGACAGGACACAGGTTCTTTTCCTAAGAGAGCCATCAACTGTGACAGCAATGCCTCCTTGGTTGGCATTTGCAAGGCCACATCTGGCATACTGACGCCTGCTATGAGGAAGGCTTTGGACTAGATGACCTCCAGAATTCCCTTCCAACCCCAATTTTTTCCATGGGTCTATGGAAGTAACTACTACACCCAACATAGTCACTTACCCAGCTAAAGCTAAAGACGCTGCTACTAGCCACACAACCCAGCACAGGCTGCTCTTTGACACGCAGTGCTCCCTGAGGCTCTCAGAGAGCTGGCCCCCGCAGGTGCCACCCTGGCTGGCTGCCCCACGGTGCTGAGGATTTTCTCCCACGTGGCAACCTTGCATTCCAGCATGGCCAGCAGAAGGGCTCAACCAACCAGTTGCTTGCAAAGCGAGAGGCTGCTGTGGTGGGACATAGGTGTCTGACATACAATCCTGGCTCTGGCAGATAACAGGGAAGACAGCTGTGGGAGTCGACACTCAGTACTCACTATTCTAGCAGACTGTCCTTCCCTGAATCACCATCAGTAGTCACACACTGCTACAGGCACTGCCACAGTACCAGTGGTTCCATGAAATACTGCAGACCAGAGACGATTTGCCCTAATTTCAACAGTGCTGAAGTGCCAACTTATGTACAGCTGTAGTTCTTCCAGTCCATGAAAGCAGCTCAGAATGAGGAGGACAAAATGTTGGCATGGCCTGCCTCTCTTAAAAGACAACAGTACGTCTTCCAGCAGTTAGTCAAATGCATCTGTGAAACTTTCAAATACATTTTTATCCAAATGGGTGCAGACATTTTTGCATATATGTACAGATGCATTTCCTAATTTGGTGAGAAGTATTATGGCAGCTTCACTGAACATTTGGTTCTAAGTGCCATATAAAAGTTTTATTCTACAGATACATTTAATTCAGTCATTCAATTACCATTAGTTAAAAAAACAAATTTGCTTACCAACTCACCTAAGAAATTCGGCTACTGTAAAGTACAAGTTCCCTTCCCCTAAACCGAAAGCACATAGGCAATAAATTAAGTTGTTACAAAAAAATTTGCCATTTCATTTGCAGTACATTTTTATTGCAGTACTTCACCACAGAATTCCTGCCATGTTTCAGTGCAGATAGAGGAATTATGTTTAAGCAGACTTCAGGACTTAACCTGGAAATGACTCATACCAATTTATGAAAATACATGTGACCCCTCACATACACGACTATTATTTGGTAAAATTCTAACAGGGATTGTTTGAAAAAGACATTATTTTATGAACATCACAGACACACAAGAAATAAGTTATATATCTTTAAAACTGCACTGGCAAAACTTAACATTTCAAACTTTTTTCTTTTATTTATTCCAGTGCCTTGGAAAGGAGACAGATTTACAGCACCTGAAAATCAGTTCTTCACCTCTCAATGTGTTAAGATATTCTTTATGGACTATGTTACAGGTACAGATAATTTATAATATTCCCCAAAATACAAGCCATTACTTTCTACATGTCTGCTTTTCTATTTATCTATTTTTAAACAGAATTCTGTACAACCTGGCACCCTTAATCCCATATCACGGAAAGAATTCCTCCATTTAACACTGTTTAGATCAAATCACATAAATTATACATCAGTATTTATTTTGAAACAACAGTGTAGTTTTCTTTCTTCTATCAGGCATTATTTAAAATGCTTTTTTGTTTGTATCTGTTGTGAATAACTAAAAAGTTCCATGACAATGTTTTTAGCAATTACACAAAAATAACTTTACACATGCAAGTAAGATTGTTAATAGGCCCTCTTATGATGTCATATGAGAATCTGAAGGCGATTAACAATGACATATTTCCCTAGCTCCACTGCTTGCTGAAAGAAAATGTCAAGAGCTATGTTGATGTGTCTTTGCCCAAGGAGACAAGATAAAAAGATGATAACTGTCACCTTCCACCAAAACTGAAGGTGTCATTAGAGTTGCCTGCGTAGTTTGTGCCAATGTGGTTAAGCATTTGTCCCCGTTTCCATTATAAATCCCATGGGTTTATAGCTCAACTGTAAAAATGTGATCTGAACTAAAATATGTCATACTGTCTTGAGTAGAAAACAAAGCTATAGGCCTATCATTTAAAATTAAACAAAAAAAGCGAAGAACAGGAAAAAATGTTGAAGTAATACATTAATTTGAATTGCAATAAAACTCAGTCAACATATTTCTGAGTTCATAAAGTTCAAAATACACCCACATAAGTGTGCTGATTCAATTCTTATTTAGAAAAAATATTCAAATGACTGAAACAATGGATTTCATAAACTGGACACATACGACACATTTCAATGTATGTTTATATATCATGACCTTGCAGCAGTACATCCTTGTAATAAATTGAGCAGTTTAAACATGCAACCACCTATTTGGTGGCCAAAATACCATTCTGCTGCAAAAGTTTTGTAGCTTGACTGTATTCCCACCCAGTTAATACTTTGGTGGTAGTACAATGGAGCACCTAATCTCTTGGATGAAATTCTTGTGACTGTGAAGGAATTGCCTCATGGACAAGATCTCCCTCAATGGATAATTTACACAAGAGCTATAGACATGCTATTTGGAAAGAACATTTGTTTCAAATAAATATACACAAGGCACAGACAAAATGGGAGAAGTAAAAGAAGCTGAGACATCTTAAATGCCAAGTTTCCTTTTAGTTTAGGGCTAGTACTTGGCAGGACCTTGGTTTGCCTTGACTACAGAAATTTGAGATTTAAAGAGATGTTCTTGTTTCATATGGGAAGAACCTGAAGTTTTTATATTTTCCATGAAAAAGAAACGAAAGAAAAAAAATCAGAGTGCAGGGGAAAGAGACAAACATTATAGCCTAATTGTAACAAAGAAATCACCTCTGACTGGTTTAAATCCCAGTCTGAATCTGAGTACCCTAAACTGGAAGGCTATCAGCCATCCTAGTATTTTTGTCTGTTTTCAAGAGGAAATACTTTTTGGCATCCAGGAAAACACTCTAAAACCACCTCTTTGACATGTTAAACTTTTCCTAGCAAAAGAACAGTCAGAAAACTCCCAACAATTCCATGTACGGATTAGTCATGACCTCACTCACTTTTTAAGCCCATCTGCCACAAAATCTCTCCCTCTAACTACCATTCAGGTCAGAAAATGGGCTGAAGGGCTACAGATGTAGTACGGTGTGTGAGCATATGTTACAATACTACCTTTTCCATTTTCCACCTCCTTGCCCCTGACATTCATGGGTGATTCGACAGCTTGAGAACCATTCTGTCCATCATGTACTGGAAAAAGTGGTGTATGACTACAGCCACCATCTTAACTATGGCATTTCAGTGGAGAAAGGTCTGTATACGTTACTGTACAGTTAAGACTTCACATGGAGAGGTGTGATTGGCTGCTATCAGACCCTTAATTTTTTCCTCAGGTAAATAACTGAATTAGTGCTATTTGTATCTCTTCCTGTGTCTCTGTTTAAAAGCTGAGACCTGTCACAAAAATCTTTTCATGTAGATACCAAACTTTTGCTGCCTTTGAAATGCAAAATTTTTATGACTCCTATGTGACCATAGCCTTAATTCTATAAACTACATAACTTTAAACGGCATGAGAAGTCCACTACAGGTGTCAAGGCCAGACAATTACTTAAAGTTATAGGCAAGATCTAGGATTTTGTTCAGATGGAATCTAAAAGTAGAGTGCTTTAAAAGCAAACCAAGAATTTCTATACACCACTCTCCCCTTTTCCTTTTGTCACCCAAAACAAAACCCAGAGGGAAGCTTTTCAGCATAATCTTACATTTTGATAAACTTTCAGTTTAAATTTATTCCCTGGGCTGTGGCATCTGAGGCCAGATCTTTACTGCTACTTGCATATTCTCTCTTCTTTTTAACACTTTAAAGTTTGATGTGTGCAGTATGTTGGCAGAGTATGAACATATCCAGTTAAATAACTTTAGCTTATTTTATCAGCTGATTTCCTACCACGTTAAATTGTTCAAATAGGAAATAATGGATCCTGTAGAAACAAATACCTGATATTCAAGTAATCGATGACTGCTTTGGCTTGCTCAATGTTGAAGAAATTCAAGTCACCCCTTCTTTCTGAATCAGTTTCTCCTATTCCAGCCATTGCTCTTCCAAGTTCTTTTAAATTGTCTCCTAAGGTCATACGTTTGTCTACAAAGTAATCCCAAAGAACAAAAACATGACAGAGTGGGGTGGGGTTTTTTGGCCCATTTTAATTATAAGTTCTTAAGCTTCAAGAAGTCTTATGAGCCATGTAGAAACTTTAAAAAGCAACATCAAACATTTTTGTTTGTTATCGTTATTCTTATCAACAAAATGTGCATTGAGTTTCTGTCACAAAATCACCGATCCACCTTCATAATGTAAGGACCACTATAACGCATGTTTAAGATACTACAGCTTGGGCTCTTACTTATGCAGAGATAACCATAGGCAGAATAGTACGTAAATTTGAGACGCATAGCATGTTTATCTTTACAATAAATTTACTACCATTTATGTATTGTAAAAGATTGTTCTTCTGACCATGCCTCTTGCAACATAAACCATTAATATCAGAACATATATTATTTTTAATATTTTTTAAAATAACCTTCTGAGTAACCAATTTTTTAAGTGCTTACATTCATAATTGATTGAATATGCATAATACTTTGCATGTACCGTCAAACTTGGAGACATTTTTGCACCACCCCAAAACATAAAATTGCTTGACATTTTTATTCTGAAAATCAAAACCAAATGCCAAAACAGCTTCGGATTGAAATTTAAATTACCTTTAACTGTCTTGACAAAGAGGAACATCCAAAATATATCAGTATTTGCTGAACCTTTAAAAAGAAATGATTCATCTTTCTCATTGGTGCACAGTGTGTGCCATCACTAGAACCATGGTGGAGTTTAAAAATAAGTTTTGAACACAATTTACTTGCTCATTTTAAGTCTAAAAATTCTAGAGTAGAAAAGGGGAAATACCCACCAGTGGTGAAACAGATTTCTTTCCTTATTGTTTTAATCCTCTACTGATCTGCTCCTTGGTTCTTTGTACAGAAAACAAATTTAAAAACTTACAAGTTTGTGGTCTTTACAGTTTTGCCCTTCAGTGTATAGCAATCAAAAACCTGAAAATTTCACCTCAATTTTCAGTAAGAGGCAGCACAACCTAAATAACCATAATGGAAGAAACGAGAAAGAAATGCAGAGAATGTGGAGGAAATAGAAGCCATGGGAAATGAGAAAGAGTAATAGTACCAGAAACATCACAGTTAGTAGGGAAGTGAAGCCACTTAACAAGATCATGAGAAGTCACAACATGCAGGTCCAGGTCCGTTGCCAGCTAGTCCAACTTTTCTCTTTCCTCTGCACACCTGACTTTCAGCCCCAACTATCTCTCTCAGAAAGACTCTCACAGTACCTCCGTGAGATAAGGAGCGCTTTACCCTCAATGTACGGAAGATGAATCAAATTACGCAAGTAATTCATTCTGGCTCCCAATCAACCAAAGCCTCCAGTTTCCAAACCTCAGTTTTCCTCTCTCATTTACCAGCCTTAAATGAGCTTCTACTACCCTCCTTCTCTAAATCCGTTCCTCCTGCTCCATGCTGTTCTTGCTATTATGGTTAAATCAGCTTAATTCTCCAGGCCACTTGGGTCCAGAGTAGGAAAGGGAAAGCAAACGGTCATTAATACGGAAGACACTAGCATCTTGCTCTTAGTTGAAATGTTTGGTCTTGGAACTTGCACCAGCTGAGAACAGTAACTACAAGGAAATTCATCTCAGCCCTGGGCTACAGCATACTTTCTAAGAAGGATTATTTGGGGAACTTAGCTGTGAAGAAAATATAAGTATTTTGTAAGCATTTACAATTTTCCCTAAAAGCCATGTATCTTAGCCAAATCTGAATGGATTTTCACAGGACAGCAAAAAGCAAATTCACAACACTTGCTTGCTAAACCTTACATCTTTACTTCACAGCACAGAGGAATTGGAGCTGTTTAAAAACAAAACAAAACAAAACAAAACAATACTTCCCCCCTTGGCCAGTTCATGTCTGCAAGCCCATTGAACTGTTTCAGTCGTAATTTTATATATAGAAAAATTAATCAGAGGCAGACACTGCCATGGGAAATTTCATCTTAAAGATTTAATATTTGGCAAAGCTTTATGCAGCTAAGATCGCATTCCTGAAAAACATCAGTCAGCTTTAATAATCGGTTGTGTTACCAGCCTGTCTAGTACACACGCATTACATACAGTCTCGTAAAACTAATTTTTGACATGTTTCCATTCTTCTCTATTGTTATATTAATATAGTTAGCATATGTTAAGATACTTTCTTATTGGAGACAGGAAGGACAACTGGAATTCCAATGATGATAAAGCACGTACATATTCTGTCAAAATTCCAAGTCAGAAAGGCCTTTGAATTACATTGCAATGAAAGAGTATAGTAACTATTATAAGCTTGATTTTAAATATTCATCTTCTCTTTGAATGGAACTGCTGAGTCCTTTCGCTCTTCCTCTGGGATGGACTTTTCTTGACACAATCACCTTCAAAGTGAATGTTAAGTAAGCATTGTGATCTCTGAAAATGGGGTTTTGGAGGATCCTGCTACCATTTTTTCTGGCTATTTTGTTCCCACTAGACCCAAGCTACATGCTTTGTTGCAAATTTCCTTGTAGCCACAGGAACTACAGTCCTTTCATTGTCATTTTTAATCTTCATCAGTGATGCCAGTTTACTTCCCACACCAGTGTTAAGCGAATTGATATAATTTTTTTGCCAGAAGTGCAGCATTTGCCATATAGAAAGCTGCCTGAGAGTTGATCTCCAAGGATAAAATAAATGTAATTCATTTGCTGTAATGCTACAGGATGCACTGAATATCTCAAACAGCAGAGAAATGTGACCAAGGCTCAAGTGAGTCAGTCACTGAGACAACCGGAATTGGAATTTAGGAGCTCCTTGCTCTTACTCTACTGTAATTATTATTTATTTTACCATAGCAAAGATGAGGTCTTTTCAGGACCTGGCCCTTTTGTACCACACTGTACAAAGAATGAGGGATATTCTGCTAAAAAGACTACAGTTTTCTCCAACGAAAGTTTAACATCTGCCAATAAGAATTATTTTCAGGTTCAAGGTATAACATGCCAACATTCAAGAGGAAAATAAATCATTTTACAATTACCTGTAATTAAATTTCACTTTATTAAAATGTCTGGAAAACATTCTAGCCTTCCTTTTCAGATATTTATTTTACAGTTTTTAATTATACATACCACTGAGGTTCTCCAACAGGAAATTTAATAGATCCATGAATCCTGAGAGCTGTATAAGACTGAAGTCCATTTCTTTAGCCCACCAAAATCCTGCAGTATAATAATCTAACAAAATAGCTTCTTTCAAAGATGTCTTTAATTGTTTAAAATTCAGAAATTCTTCCAGCTTTCTAGAAGAAGTTGAAGAGTAAAATAATGAAATTAAAAAAGAAATAACAGATTCCGAAGTTTAACTTAGTCTGCTTGTAATTATATCCATATTTACTATTCTTTTATTATACTTTATATACATGTATGTATCTTCCTGGAACTTAGATACATCGATTTCTAGACATAAACATTTATGATCAGAGGACATATCAACTGAAAAAAGTACACAAACATCTACAGGTTTCAACAGACACTATTTAAATGTTAAGATGTGATTAACAAAAGAACAAAAATAAGAGCATTACAAAAAAACAAAGAGAAATGCACTGAAAATCCCAGACAAAAAACAGTGTTTGTTCAGGTAGGGGTTTGTAGGATGAAACGAAATGATTAGTCTCTGCTTTCGACTACAACTCTTTCACTCTGATTGAGATATTTTTACAGTAATAAAAAGATCTTTCTTCCCTTTCAAGATTATTTTTCATGTAGCCTCTGAAGAAAAATTACATTTGAAAATTTATGTAAATGATATAATATAAAATTACTGAAAGTGCCTAAAATATTTAGAAGTTTAAGTTCTACTCTCATAATGGTCAGGACATGTAAGAAGAACTTCATCGTATTTTACTGGCACAATGTGGAAATTTTTCCAATTACTTTAACTTGAAAAATTAATGAAAAAATACAGCCCTTGTAGGAGACCATGCTGCTGCTGACACATTTCTGTCTGCTCTAGCCAAACATAGAATTAGTTATGTTTTGTATAATAATTGTGCACATTTTTCCACACAAAAGGATCGGATCAGTGCTAGGACTTCAGTTTGCAGTTCTTCCAGTATAACTTCAGCCATGTCTCACGTAGTTAAGTTTTACATTAAAGGAATCCTTGGCTGCTTAACTATACCTGACGATACAGATGCCAGTTGTGATCAGTTTCTATTCCCGTGTAAAAGAGCAAAATCTTCCACCCCTGCTTCTCATTCCTTCCTAAGAAGGGCATTAATCTCACACCTACCGATAGGCAACCATTACTTTTTCAGGGTTTTCACCAAGCCAGTAGAGAAACACTGTCAAACGAGTTTCTTTTTTTTTTATTTTTTTTTTTTTAAATGAAAGCCTCAATAGCTAACAAAGTAAAACATATAATCCAATCAGTTTTGTTTGAAATGTATTCCTTTGTTCTGCATGACAAATTTGTATGGCTGCACACATGCGAGTAGGTTAAAAACACTTAACTGTGTACTGAAATAGAAGTGGAATGTGGCCAGCTGAACTTTCCAAGGTCTGAAACAGTCCATATCCTCTCTTTCTGAAGCTTCTGCCAACTCTGTGTTTTCATAATCAGAGCTTCTCAGGGATTTAGATTCTCTCTGATGCTACTAACAATGCCAGTACTTATCTTTTCAATATTCTGTAAGGCATGTCACTGACAACAGTATCCATAAATGACTGGGAAATGATGGGGCATTTAGATTTCCTAGTTACCCTGATTGCTATTTCTTCCTTCACAGAAGGTGCTCAAGTCCTGCGGAGATGGACAGCAGTATAAAACTCCATGATAGATGGGAATGTAGGATATCAAAATTCCCATACTGAATCAGATCTATTCTGATTTTCTAACCTTAGCTGTGGCCTTCAAACTGCTCTTGTGTATAGACATGATGCACTGTGGTAAACTAAGAAAATTTCAACTCTGCTGCTAAACTGCTTAGAGTGCATAAAATACCCTGTAACTATCCTCTTTTCAGTCAGATGCAATATATACTTTATGTTCCACTTGTATAGTATTATATATAAAATACTTATGTGATCAGCTGAGACTAAGAAACATACGCTCTTTCAATGCTTTTCTTATTAATCTTAATGAGAAAGTTTCATAATAAATTGTGTCATTAAGCACATTTTAGTCTCCAGTGAGTAGTATGCTTCAGTCTCCTCTAAAATAAAAGGCCTGTCATGCAAGAGAAAACAGTAAATGAAAGAATTTATTTTTTTACTATCTGATGGGAACAAATTTTTTTTTACCAGTTTTCTTAAAAAAAATCCCAGAAAGGCTTCCTCCCCCCCCCCCGAACAGTGCAAATATGAATAATATTTTAATCTCTATTAAATGGTTTATCTATTCAGAGGAACAAGGTTGAATTTTTTATACCTTCCCCCTACCCAAAAACTGGTGCAGGGGATCAGCCCTTTGGCTTTCAATTCACTAAGTATTTGCTAGTGGACACAAGTGCTCCTAAATAATTCGGGCACTTCTGAAAAATCCCATCCTTAAAATATAAGCCTAGAGTCTCAGACTGAACTCCTGGCCTCCTAAATTTAGCTGCTATTAAGCACTAATAACAAAGGAGAGTTTTGCTACATGAAAGACAAGAGGGGCTTACATCAGAAATCTTTGGCTGTCTCCTATTTCCCCAGTGCACCATAATGGCTACCTACTAATACCTTCTTAAGCTCTCCATCCCTTCCTGAACTTTAAAAACCTTTCTGATTTTTCAATAACTCCTGTTACAGTACAGAATCTTAAATGTTTTAGCAAAAAAAAGTTACCAAGTGAGACTTATTAAAAAAGCTCAGTATGGGCCTGTTCTTATTTACATTTTAGTGTTTCATTTACAGCACATTCAACACTATTGTAAAGTCAGAATCCTCATCAGTGTGAAATATCAGTGGAAAAAGAAAAGAAGCCAAAGAAAAATCAAGAGATACAGGAAATACAGTAAAACAAAGTGGATCTGAGGTCAACAGTATTTCTTCCTATCTTTCATGAATCATATTAAATATCAACGAATTAACTGAACAATTAGAGATTAATGATGTAACCATCACAAAATAAATCTAACAAATAGTCTATAATTTTTTTTCATTATTATGTTGGTTCTAGCATTGTTACCATTGCCACCTACTTTTGAACTCCTTCTACATTTTGTTCCGACAAAGCAGTAATTTGGAAAAGAGAAAGAAATGTCTGATTAATAATCTTCTTTCCAGCTATGGCATCCTGATTTCGGTCTTCTTCCTACACACACATATATAATTTTTAAAGGTTTATTTTATTATGTCAGTAACTTATCTAAATAACTTTTCTTTTTGAGGAAGGGTGCAAGGGATTAATTCAGCAAATGCCAAAAATGTAGTACAGCTCTAATTATATGGCAGCAACACAATACCCTAACACATTTTCACTAGAGAAAAGCTAGGCAGATACATGGAACCCAGTATTTTTATCTTAAATTCATGGGGGAACATAGTGACATATTATGTGCAGCACAAGACTAAATTAACTTGCAAATAAAAGCAATAGAAATATAAAGGTGCAAAAAACCCCCACGAATCTAGATTTGACCAGCATGAAACTAGATTGCAAAGTAATTAAATTTTAAAATCAGTTCCTGCATAAGATATTCTGAGTATACATACACATTACCATGCTATTTGCACTCCACCCTGTACTTGACTGGCTTCTCAAATTTACTGTCTGCACCCACTCCTTCCCTAACCAAAAAAAACCCCAAGATGTTTGCTGCAACACCATGATACACATACAAGGATCTGACTCTACTGTTTCAGGGAAGGTTCTGTGTATTTGTATTATAGAAGACAGTTCCTTATAGGAAATACAAGGATGTACATGTTTAGGGGATAAGAAACTGAGCATGAACCAACAATACAATGGTCTCACAAAAAACAGGAGCATTTGATCATATTTTATTTAGTATGTGTCACCAACCAAAAACATTTGACCAGAGACTTCAGTAAGAAATCTACAAAATAAATAAAACAGTAGAAGAAAACCCTTGTTTTACAATAGAATATGTAGGCAACAAAGTGAGGTGTCAAAGCACATTATAAAACATGAGATGAGGCAGACCCTTTACAGAGGTGCACGGCATAGGAACAAGGGACAATGGTCATAGAAAAGAACAGAAAATTTTAGTTGAAACTGACCTACAATACATTAGCATGGGACAGCATAAGGAAAAATATTTCACTATGAATCACAGAATCATATCATGGAATGGTTTGGGTTGGAAGGGACACCTCCCACTAGACCAGGTTGCTCAAAGCCCCACCCAACCTGGCCTTGAACACTGCCAGGGAGGGGGTAGCCACAGCTTCTCTGGGCAACCTCTTCCAGTGCCTCATCACCCTCGTAGTGAAGAACTTCTTCCTAATATCTAACCTCAATCTCCCCTCTTTCAGTTTGAATCTCTTACCCCTCATCCTAACACTGTACTCCCTGATCAAGAGCCCCTCCCTACCTTTCCTGCAGGCCCTCTTTAGCTGCTGGAAGGCTGCTCTAAGGTCTCCCCGGAGCCTTCTCTTCTCCAGGCTGAACAACCCCAACTTTCTCAGCCTGTCCTCACAGGGGAGGTGCTCCAGCCCCCTCATCATCTCCGTGGCCCTCCTCTGGACCCATTTGAGCAGGTCCATGTCTTTCTTGTGCTGGGGGCCCCAGAGCTGGACACAGCACTGCAGGTGGGGTCTCACCAGAGCAGAGCAGAGGGGGAGAATCCCCTCCCTCAACCTGCTGGCCGCGCTGCTCTTGATGCAGCCCAGGATCCAGTGATAATTAAGTATTAGAACAGGTTACCCAGAAAGGCGCAAGAATCCCCATCCTTGCAGGTTTTCAAGACTGAACTGGACAAAGCCCCAGCCTGCATTCAGTGCTGGCTCAGCTCTGAGCAGGCAGCTGAACCAGCTCATGTCCCTAAGATCCCCTCCAGTCTCATGACTGTGAGTCTAACTGGCCTGACCTGCTTCTGCACCAGGACACAAAAACCTGATTATAATTTACTCGTAGCAGGTACACTTCTATATCTGTGGGACTCAGGCTTTACAGAAGCACAGCGAGGCAAAGCTTGCAGAATAATGCTACTAGCTCACCTAGGGAGCGAGAAGTGGAAGATTTCCTAACATGAGCTGATTCTTGAGCCTGAACAGTATCGTTCTGGGCTAATACACTAACTCTAGCATTGGCCAAGGAGAGCCTCCAAATAAAGCTACATT